TATTAAAAAGATGAAATGGTAATCATGATGGAATCAACTGAATTTTTTTCTTACATATTCTTTCATGTCTTATAATAAAACATGACAAAATAAATGTAAGTGGTTTATCCTTGTAGCTTATACCAACAGACTAAATAAATGAAACAAACACAGCAGGGGGTTGACAGATTTGCTTGTATGAAATACTGACTCAATCACCTGAATAAATAAACACACGATGTCCATTAATTGTCCTCTCCTGAGTAATTTATTGGCTGGCCAACCAAGAAATGCAAATCAATGAATATTAATGTACTCAGACATCTATCTGCGCGACATGTTTACAAATTAAGTGTTAGGTGATATGTAATTTTGCTTCCCCGATTACTGTCTTAACTCCTGACTAAATATGTTTTCATTATGGTGTCTGTGGGTTAAAGCCGCACTAATTCATATTTTTATATTAACATACCGAGCAGCTGTTTGTAGCAAAAAAAGCTTGCAATAAACTGATGAACATAGTTGAGCATTTAGCAGTTAAAGAGCCAAATATTTCCCTCAGGAGTTGATGAAAACCAAACGGAACTAAAAAAAAAACGAGTGAATATTGGATTTACATTCGCTGGGTTGCCTGAAGCACATCTCCAAATGAATACTGATGTTTTTTTTAGTATCAGCTAGATGTGTAAATAGTAAACTGCTTAAATATCTACCATATCAACTTCATCGACTGAGTATATGTCCATGTTTACAGCTTGTTATGCTGCCTCCAAAAAAATCAATAAATGCAGGTTTAACTTGTGGGTATGTATCGCCCACTTTTACACAAAGCAGTGAATGCATTCCAAGACAAGTTCTGAATTCAATAAACATGCAATATGATAAAAAGCATCTAATGTACCATATGTTTCCTAATTGTTGTCCTATAAACATCTTTTCGACAAAATGTGATCATTAGAAATCAGCTACATTTCTCCAGGGACTCTTGATAGAGTTTAAATAGACTCAGTAATCACAGTTGATAGCTACCCACACATACAAACTCTAGAAAGCACACAGTGAAAAGGTTTGTAAGTGTTTGTGCAGAGGCATATTTTCCAAGGATTAGAGGATTTTTTTTATTGTAACATTTACTTTGCTCCAGCGCAGCCTCCACTGGAGTGGCTACAGAGAGGCGCAGCCTCGGGGGCTGTCAAACCCCGGCCATGGATCAGCTTACCATCCCTTGTCTGCACCTTATCCCCGAGAGACTGAAAATACAAAGTTGACCCATAGCTTAAGGGCAGCCTGGAGTAACAGTAATGGTGTAGCTAGTTTAGCTTGACAGAGAGGCTCAGATGTCGGAGCTGCATTGGGGATTATACTGCGGTAGATCACAGCCCTGAGTGTGGGGTTGATTTATACTCCACACAAAGTACATCATTTTCACTGTCTACACTGCGGTGCACTTGTGGATGTTGCAAGCTCACAAAAAGATTTGAGGATGTTGATGATGACTTCAGGATTGCAACAATAAATAATCTGCGCATGAGATGGAATGTGTCAGCTCGGCGCTAAAATAATCGCACAACTCACGTCTCAGCCACTGCTGAGTGCTAGAATCCTAAATCTTAAATCCCCCTTAAGCAGGAGAGCCCACATGACAGGAGTGTTTAATATTCATACTGTATATGGGAGCCTCTCACCAAAGCAGAGCGTGCAGGAGGCGAGAGCCGTTTGTTTCCTCCCTGTGGAGCCCAGCTCTTCCTCTGTGCCGGAGGTCTCAGGTTGTCTTCTCCTCTTCTTCACCCACAGATGGTTGTGTCACATCCCTGAACAAGTGTCTCCAATGAAGAGGTGATCCTGGCTGGTGTTAACTGTCATGTTAGAAACCGAACGGCTCTTAAAAGACTCTTAAAGCTGCTTTAATTAACACATCTAATCAACACATTTTAATCAAGTTACAATGTGTAATGTGGAGGGGGGTTGATGGTCGAGGGTTTCCCCCGAGTCTGCTGTTCCCCTCAGCAATGAGCTTTAACTTATTGATTTCAACCCTTTAGTTTTAGTGTTACTGCCCACAATTTTACTTTGATGATTCACTCCCACCGCTCTCAAAGCATCGTTTTCAGCTGCAGATGGCAACTGTTTTCGACAAAAGAAGCTCTAAAAACTCACTACAAATGGAAGCCAAACAAACCTATCTAAAGGTAGTGATTAGCTGGTAGCTGGTATTTTCCCCAAGAGTTGGTGGAGAGACGGACGAAGCTAAAACAAGAGTGAATATTGGACATCAACATCCTCAGGTGGCCAAAATGTGTCTGTAGGCTAGTGTTTGTTTGCATATTTACTAAATCAACTTTATAAGGTGATAATAAGTTAGTGTTATAGAAGAAGTACAGTGTCATTCTGCCTCCACAATATTTTATAAACTAGGAGATGTTGAGAAAATATAAATTTTTTACTCAACACTTCAATATATACTAGAAGACGTTACTTTTTTTATAGTTATCTTTATTATTCACTTTGTTAAAGCAGGAAAATAAATTAAAACTTAATTGTACTGAATTAAGAGCAACAAAAGACAAAATTAACTCACAAAACCCTCGACATATCTCTCATATTCTATCTATATTTCATCAATACATCTCCCAGCTCCACTGCTCTGAAGTAGTAAAGGAACTGAAACAAATTGTGAAGCTCCAGAAAGGACTAAAAAAAGACCAACTCAGATGTTGATGCTGCTCCAAATTTCAATTTCCCTTCACTTTGAAGAGATCGGAGACCACATACTGTATGCTACACTGTGTAATTGCAATTTTGTGGAACCTCTAAAAATGGAGCACTGTAAATCTCCTCAAATCTTCAGCTGAAGCGCCAACCTTCATATGCCCCATAAATCGGGGCATATGAAGGACTCAGGATCGCGCTCTGATTACCATCTGTCTTTCCATGATCATCACTGCCACCACGGGCTGACGAGGCGTTCGTTAAGACGATGTTTACTCTGTGCGGCCCCACAACGCACGCACACACACACACACACATAATATGAATGTTAAAACATGCATTATAGATCTGAGATCACAACTCCAGCAAACCCCAGCTGTGATTAAAAATAGACTGTTTTGTTTTATCAGTCCTCTCCGCTTCCCTTATCGGCTCATTCGCATAATTAATAGTGGCTGACGCTGTCCTCATGAGCAACTGCAACTGGGATTTCTCCTGCTTGGAATTCTGTCCTACTTCATATAGTGTCACTGCAACCTGGTGGATGCACTGTGCTGCATTTGGGATTATAGCTTCATACACTTTCAAACGCACACTGACTGCTGGAAACAGCTGCTGGCTGCATTCTGTGTGGTCCATTTCTTTGCCTTTTGGTTGAGTGTATTTTTTGTTATTCTCATTAAAAACTGGACATACGTTACACTGAGATACACGGCAATGGACATGGCAAAACGTTTCCTTTTTCTACCTTGGAGAACGCACACACAGCAATGTGACAGACCAGTGTGAGCTCCAACACTGGTCTGTCACATTGCAGTCAAGTCCCACAACTCTTCAATCATCTTGCCTTGACCAGGGAGGCAGTCATGTGACCTATAGATCACCATAGATAGCACAAATATACATTATACTATCAGCATCCTTTTTAAATAATATACTATTAACAAAAAGGTAATATCCCGATACCTAAACGACTGATACTGAGTACCGACACAACACCAGTTTTTGATTAATCATTTATTAGTTATAAAATTTAACATAAATATTTAGCAGTTTGAATGATGAGAATTGCTGCGCACTAAAAATACATTTTAGTGACAAATGCAAGTGACAAATAATTGTCCTATGATTTTAGATACCCCCCTGAAATTTAGCAATTGAGGCTTTCAGGGGGTCTCAAGTGTCAATCAATGTATTTCACATTGAGGAAACAATAGGAAAAAATAGTTAATATTCAATATTTTCACCCATCAATGTGTTTTGATGAAACACTATAACAATAAATAACGTTTTTTTGTCAGTCCCTGAAAATTGAAGAGCAAAAAGCATTGTAGACTTACAAATTTGCACTGACATTCAATATTCATACCTGATTAAATCTGAGGTAGAAGAGGCTGTTTGAAACCTTTTAAGGAAAGAATGAGTTTTCAAATGGCCTTACTCCTTCAAATAGTATGAAAGGCAGATGCAATGTGATTAACCAGAGGAATTGAAAACAGTGTGTAAAGTGCTCACACCAAGAAAGTAAAGGACAAGACTTCAACATCAAATAACTGCTTGAAAATGATTATTGTTCATACATAACACTATTAATTCCTTTAACAGAGATGCAGTTATAATATACTGCAAGTGTGCAATCACTTTTCAGTACAGTGTGTCATCATAATGTTCACGTCGTTGTCACTGCACTTTTCATATTCTAACTTTTTAAACAGCACATTTGGCTTCTGTCCACTTCCACATATCCCAGATTACATTTTGCTCATGAATATAACATAATCTTTAGAGCACACAAAATTGGAAGTGATCCTCTTCAGTGAGGTTCGCCCGTGTTCTCCTGACCTCACTTTGATCAGAGATCATTCTTAGATGGACCTTTTTTAATTGCAGCATCCTGAAGGAAAATCCAATTAGGAAATAGTCCATTTCAGTTCTTTACCATTTTAATATAATTTGTCAGCTGCAGCTTTAGCAGACTGCTCGTCTACAGGAACAGCCTTAATAACACAGAGCACATGTATGTGAGTGTGTTGTGTGTTCTGGATGTAAATTTAAAGGGCATGTGAGGGTGATTTTTACTCAGAAACTTTTATAGAAATGCTCCTCGGATGGTGACTTGAGCTGCTGCGTGATGAGTAATCTGACTCCCTTTGTTTTGCCCCTCTGCTGTCCTTTGCTCTGTCTCTTTCTCTCTTCCTAACAACACACACACACACACACACAAACTGCGTTGCTACTCTCCCTTTCTTACATCTACGCTCCTAATGTCACTCTCTCTCTCTCTCTCTCTCTTTCTTTGTGTGTCTCTGCAGGCTCGCTGACGGTGTCCATCACCGACATGCGTGCTCCAGTGGTGGGGGGCTCCGGAGGGGTCTACGCTCTGTGCTCAGCGCATCTGGCCAACGTCGTCATGGTAACTGTCATCATCATTGCCTCCATTGTTGTGTTTGAAAGCAGTTTTCAGTGGTGCCGAAATGTCAGAGCCATCCACGTGGCGTGAGATGGACACCCACCACACTATATAGCTACTATGCTGTGTGTGTATGTGTATGTTCTTCTTTTGACAATAGATGTTTGTTGCAGGTTTTCTCTGCTAGTCATCACATCGATTTGATGCCTATATCAGCTTTTGGATATATGCCATTGAATATTCCATGTGACCTCTTTGGAGAAGCTCTTTGAACTTTGTTGAGTAGCTTATTCCACCACAACATGTTTTCACTGTGCTTGCCGTTCGTATCGATGAATCTAAAGTGAACTGGCTTCTATTAATTATTGAGACTGTGTTTATTTACGTCCACTGAACAAACAAGTAGTGGATTCCCTTGATATGCTGCTCGAGAGCTTTTTTTTTTTTTTTCTCAGTATTTATTTGTTTATGTCAAAAGGTTTGTATGTGAAATGCCTTCCACATTCTCTCCAACTCTCGAGGCGGTGTTACATCTGACGAATCACTTTAACTAACGTTGCTGTTCACCGTGGGCAGCAGCGATGCCAGCGGGGATAGAAATCAAAGTGCACCGACAGGCCTTAAGCAAAGACTCTGTAACTGTGTGCTCTGAGCAGCTAACAGATAGTTTATTTCGTCTCTTACGCTTGATGCCTGTTTGTAGCTGGGAAATCCTTCAAGGCGCGTCTTAGTTCTGCTCTGATGATTTTGTGTTTTTGAAGGAAATCTTGAAACCTTGTCCGGTCTCGTCCTAGTAAACTCCCAGCCATCTCGTCATCATCCATTTCACTCAACAGACATTTTCAAGCGTCGCTGTGAACATGACGACCCAGAAGTCACGCAGCTCCAGCTAAAACATATTGGAACCATGTAGTGCGCAAATTCAGCTTTGCAAGAAATATTTGGCCTTACGTGTTTCGTTTTTATATTTGTGTCTTCTGATCAGCAAGCACTCTTTCTTCGAGTCTCTGAATGATCCCCTGCACCTCACACACACACACACACACACACACACACACACGTATGCAGATTACCTCAGCAAGTCTCCATTTCAATGTCGGCAGTGGGACAACTAGATGTCTAACAGACCAAATGGATTGGCTGTCGTTTGGTTTAAGATTGCCCTTCTCCTCATGTGAGAGAGGAGTCACGTCAAAGCAAATTGCCTTCCATCAGAGAGCAGCATCACCACATCACGCCCAGCTCAGACTTCCTCCTCTGCACTACTACGTTGACCTCTCCCCTCCATGATATTAATAATTTATTTGTGGAAATGTATAATCTATATATCCTCGCTTGCTTTTAAACGTATGGTCGGGGCAGGTTTTATTTATATTCTCCCGTCTTTAATTTTGCATGCCGTTCACCCTTTATTTTGGCCCTGGGTCTGGTCCTATTCCCACAACTAAGAACTTAAGGAGGGATGGGATTGGTACAATTTTTCATCCTAGGGAGTAAATGTGTTATTCTAACTCGGGATGCCATTATTCTTTTCCCCCGGAGAATCAAACGGCTATTTATTGGCCCATTTTCCCCGTCTGTTAAATTATCTTAGTCCTAATTAATGGAGTGCCACTAGGCTGGAACCAGTAAGTGGAGAGCAGCCAGGTGTATAATCGCGTCTGTGTGTAGTGTGAGTGCTGCTTCCTCTCTCTTTCAGGTCTTAATATGTCCAGAGGATAGAAACTGAAGCATTTCTTTTACTAATACACTCGTATCTTTGTTATGGCTGTTTGTGTCGTGATTGTTTATGCTGATGAGACACTTTTCGCTCTGTGTTGCAGAACTGGGCCGGGATGCGTTGTCCATACAAGCTGCTCCGCATGATCCTGGCGCTAGTCTGCAGTAAGTTGTCCAGATTTACTCTTAAAGCCTTGCACTTGTGTTCTCACTGTTGCTTTTTATGTTGAATATATATATAACTCTATCAATGAATTGCGATTGGGCATAACCCTATTTTTTAGCATATTTAATGTCTTCACACCTGTTCACAATACAAATGTCTCAGAAACAGACATGCTACTCAAGCTGGGTGAGAGGCTCCATGATTAGACATGTTGCTTTGTTTTCAAAGCATTTGAGTCGTACCACTTGTCCGTTTTCTCTCCACGAGGACCGATACACTGTGACTTTCATTAGTGAGCAATATGTTCTATCCATCTGTCCCGAGCCTGACGCCCCCGAACTGAGAGAGCAGCGAGTCTCTGCTGCAATGTTTATTTTCTCCTCAGCGTTTTACGAACAGGGAATTCAGCTTTTCTCAATAAAATGTGACACATCGTTTTTGTGAGTACTGTTACGACTGAATTAACATTTGCTCTGGTTTTATACTATGTGTTAAGCATTTTTTTCAGCGAGGACTCTGGAGAACGGCAACAAACAGCAAATAACATTTGAAAGCAATTTTTTGAGTAAAGATCCATTTAAATCCTCCTGTGAACTTTCTTTGTCTGCAGAAGTAGACTTTGATAAAAGACCTACTTCACTACACAGTATAGCTCAACTTTAGGCAATTATATGAAGTCAACACCGAGCTAGGCCCTTTAAATGTGGTTTTACAAATTACTTCTTTTCTTAGAAGGATGATGAAAAATGTTATGATTTTAAATAAAGTATAAGTTACAGGGAAAGCCAGATAAACTCGTCGAAAAGTTGCACACCAGTGAAACCAGAAAACACAGTATTTAACTCTGACTTTATGACGGGGATTTGGCTTTTGAAATCTCAAATTTATTAAATGTACTTAATTTAGGATACGTAGATTTTCTTACCTTCGGACATAGCCAGGCCAACTGTTTCCAACTGTTTCCAGTCTTTTTGCTAAGCTATACGCTAACCAGCTGCTGTAGCTACATGTTCACCGTGCAGACATGAGAGTGGTATTAAGCTTTCCATCTGAAACTCTGCCAAAAAAAAAAATTCTCTTCAAAAGCCATGATGGAATAACAGGACGGTGGTGTGGTCTGATGTCCTCACAGCAACAACCATGAGCAGATACTAAGGAGGTTCTGTCTTTCATCTCTCCCCCGCAGTGAGCTCAGAGGTGGGTCGTGCAGTCTGGCTTCGCTTCTCACCGCCGCTGCCCTCCTCGGGGCCCCAGCCCAGCTTCATGGCACACCTATCGGGGGCCGTGGTCGGTATCAGCATGGGGCTTTTGATTCTGCGCAGCTACGAGGAGAGTCTGCAGAAGCAGTGCTCCTGGTGGGTCATCGTCTTCTCCTTTATCACCTTTCTCCTCTTCGCCATCTTCTGGAACATCTTTGCATATGAGCTGCTGGGGGTGCAGATACCACCTCCTCCCTGATGAAGGCCCCCCCCCCCCCCCAGGGATTACAGTAGCAACAAGTACAGGTGAAAGTCCCTCAGATCCATTTCAAAGAGCATTATATCTTTTTATATATACGTTGAAAACTCATCCACATTACCAGCACTAAACTTTGAGTGAACGTTTTCTCATCAACCGTTTCTTTCTGCGTCTTTCATTTACGGAAAGAAGAATCTGAGTTGATGACACATGCCTGTGGTTCAAAGGAAAGGGAATTAAAGGGAGGAAAGCAGTGTGTATGCTTTGGCGGTGACGATGCTGACCACACGCTATATGAGAAATGTTCCGTCTCTGAAGGTCAGAGATCAGGATCAGCTGCAGCAACGCCCCCTAAACTTTGCTTGTAGCACTTAAGCAGAGTTGATGGCTGAATCTGAGACCTTTTGGCTGTGCTACAAATCAGAGCTGCAACTGCTTTTAATGAAGAACTAAAGGAGAATTTCGGGAAGAGCACATTTATTTCTGGTGGCAGCAATCAAAAAATACAGACGCACCAATGCAGTATGATTGCTGATATGAATATTTTGAATTCACAGCCCTGCTGCAACTCACAGGGACTGTGACTTTTTGCTGAATTGCTGACACACTGATTCAAAACAAAAAAAACAACGAACAGAACGTTTTCTTCAAATTGAGCTGCTAAGCAGGATCTCCTGCCCAATTATAAAACATCAGTCAAAATTCTTTGCAGTGCAAATGGCTTTCCCAGAGCAGTTGTAGGAAGAATGGAGTAAAACGTTTTATGTGGATTGTGTCATCTACAAGGAGTACCTTAAGGTTAGAGGCATCACCGTCATTTTCATTTCATGGGGTCTGAAGACATCTGTTTTTTTTTAATGTTATTTCCAAGACATAATACCAACACTGTGGATACGGACTCATAGTTCACACAACATAGACAAGACGTGAAGATAGGAAATGAAAGTGACCACGTGACGGGAGAGAAAAGAAAAAAGAATATCACGAGTAAGGGGATCGCTGAAGATCCCTGGATAGTCGACACTTCAGAGAGTGAACTCCTCTTGTTGCTGTTTCAAACTAACCACCAACTTGCTTAGGCGCACAGTGTAAAATATGCCATGTCATGCTCCGTGGCTCTCAGCGAGACGAGGACACACACATACTCTGCCTGTTCTCGCTCTGACAGACTGAACTGGGGAGGGCAAGGATGTGTCATCACCTGACCTCTGACCTTTGTGTCCCATAGGGCATTGGGGTCTCTCTGTCAGGCCCAGTCTATACCTCAGTTTCTCATTCTTAGGGACTGTATACTTTTGTAAAGGAATGTACCTATAAAGAAGAAAAAACAGTGTTATTAAGTTGTCCCCATTTTTCATTTGATAGTGGATGTGTATAATGTATGTTCATAACCAAGAGTATATTTATTTGTATTTTTTTCCTCTTTGAGAGGGAAGAGAGAAACGTTTCAAATGGTGCAAAATTAATGCTATGATTGTTGTTCTTCTGATAACTCCTGTAAGGCTTTGATCCTCTGAAAAATAGTCTATGTGGCAGAATCCCCTGGTTTGTTAGATGACCACCAATGACTCGAGCTTGATTTTATAAATCTTTAGTGCTTTACAAAAATAAGCCATAGAAAGAACTAATTGGAGAGGGTAAAAGAAGAGGAAGATAGCTACAGTGCAACTTTGTTCTTCAGTGTGATCAAACCTCATTTCTTCATTGTGAATATTTAACAGGTGAGGTGGAAGAAGACAAACTGTGCAAGTATGAGCCTGTGAAACTCTGGACTGTTTGAGATATTTTCATGTAGCGAGACTCATTCCACAGCTTGTTCGCCAACTTGTTTGTAGTCGATGCAGCTTCATTTTGCAAGTGCCCACATCTCCGAACTCTCCCCTGCAGCGCGCAGAAGCCTCGCTGCAGCTCTTCTTTTGCAAATAGCAAATTATGGACGAAGCTTCTGTCCTACTTTGTCTCCAGAGTGATTCAAGCTTTTTGGAGAGCTGAGGCGAGGATAGCAATTACACTTACTCATGCTATGTTCCCGTTTTTCAGTTTTTCAATCAATAATTCATTTGAATGTCCACTGGCTGCCTGGAGGGAAAAAATGTTATGCATTTGCCAATTTTTGATAGTTGGTCATAAATACAGTCCTCAGCATTTGCTTCCACGTGAAACTGTCGGAAGTAACAGAAGACTCTGTGTTAAATGAGGAAATCCGTATGAAATAGACAGAAAAAGCCATTTTCAGATGCATTAACAACAGAAAAGATCAGCCAATACGTGGTAATAATGGATCTTTGAGAGAAACCCTTGTGCATACTTGGAAATATTATTGCTTGGTATAGCAAAGATGCATCGCTGAATAATGCATACATGCCCTGTTAGCCTATAATGAAGATGAAGAGGATGCCTGAGAGGAGGTTAATGTGCCTCTTTACTTGAAGATTCATAGTGAAAAGGGCTAGTGAATAGCTGTTTTGTAGAACACATTAACTGTGAATATTACCCCTCCTGGAAGTACATGCAGGATGAAAAGCAAATGCTTGTGAATTCTTGTTGCCCCGAAAAAGATACTCAACTATGTACTCCTCATATAAGGTGTATTATTATTATTAAATATCTTCTGAAAAAAGCAGACAATAGCATCATAAACAGGAGAGAAAAGGAGCAGTGTGTGTATCTTAAATTACCAAGTGCATGGGGAAACTTTTCAGGAGTAGCTTGTGTGTGTGTCTCTGTCAGCCAAATCTCACAGTACCAACGCCTCCTAAAATATGCCACCTCCTGTCTGATAAAAGCCTTCTCCTGCTCTCAGACAGCATCTTCAAGGAAATGAGTGATTGAGGCCTGACTCACATCATCTGGCTTGACAGTATGTGTCGGTTTATGGTTTGTGAGGGGTGGCGGGACAGCGGAAACAACAGTGTCGGCACTCATCATAAAACCTCGGCAGCGTACATGCCCGTGTCACGACACCCCTGGTGTCAGGATGATGATGCATGGCTGTTGCGGGGATACACCGGAGCCCAAGGCTAGGACGTAAACAGGATATCTTCCTTCAATAAGTGGATCTGACAGGCTACATGATGTTAATTGAATTGCTGCCTTTTGAGTGACACATTTGTTTTCAACAGCATAAGAAAGGCACCGGGAGAGATTGGCATGAGCTGAACTTGCAGACTATCAATAACATGTGATCCATCACTTTGTGTGATCCACACGGCCCCTCTTGATTGGTTTCTATACAGCCATGACTGCGATACGAGGTGATGTTAACAGGTCAGAGCCAACTCATTTGAGTCTCATTCATACATGAACCCTTGTTGGTGTGACTGCACACAAGCTACTGTTCATTTCCGTGCTCGTCTGAGTCAAAAAAAATTCATTTTTCTGCTGTTCTTATTTCCTGTTCCTGTGTTTTGTCATATGTGGGCTTTTCTTTTTGCACTTCTGATGATGCAGTTAACTGACATGTTGCCATGTGCCATATTCTCTACTGCCATAAACATTCTTTGATGCTTTTTTACCTCCCTATGCCAATCCATTGTGCTGTTATGCCCAATGCCTTTTTATCGTATATATGCGCCCAAATCTAAGCACCGGGCAGAAAGGCTGCTTTGCCGTGTGGTGTATTATTTTACATGATCATGCACAGAATCCATAAGAGACATTGATGTTAGTATATACAGTAGCTGCTCAGAACTGCTGCTCACCAACTAGCCGGCCAGGTTGCCTTTTCTTAGTGTTTATTGCTACTTAGATGTATATCTCACTGCAGGACTTTGCAGGTAAAGCAGGCTACTGTAGCTCCAGGGATGGAATTGTTCTGAAAAACAAAGACGTTGAAACCTGAAATGCTGATTTCGGGTTCCAAGGCCCCCCAAATGTACAGACTATAGTTCTCAAAATATCCTGGATATTGATGCATTAACATGTTTAATGTGGTCAGATTTAAGGGTATATGATCTGGTTTGGAACAGAGAACATTACTAAAGTCTTTGTTTCCCAGTTTCTAGCTTTGGTACGGATTCTTTTCATGTTCCCAGAAACTGTCTGAGCCACTCGGTGTAATGCAAATATCAACAGGACGTTTCTTAAAATGAGTCGTTTCCCTCTGAAGGTTTAGAATTCAAAAAAAAAGAAAAAAAACAAAAGTCATATCTGTGCTGCTGTGGTAGTTTTTCATGAGCTGCTTACTTGTATTGATTAAAATGGTGCCAAGCTTACGAGGTTCAATCTCTCAGACTAGACGAGAGGTTGTACCAACACAGCGTTTACAAAAAGAATAAGCAGAAGCTATTTTTCTCGGTCATCAGGAAACTAAAGGAAAACTAAATTTACATATGGATAATTTATATCAAAGTCCTCATTAATTATTTCACAATCTATTGTACTTTTTAAATGTTCTGAACGGAACCATTTTATATTGTATATATATGAATATATTTTGTTTTATTTTGTACTGTTCATTGTACTTTGCTTTAATTTAGAAACTATAAATAAAGAACAATACTGTGGCAACGTCAAACTGCTGTTTTTAGTGTTTCAGCACAAAACCATTATCATTGTGCTGCAACTTACAACTGTATGACTGGACTACATGATACCAAACAAAAAAAATGCAAATACTCTATATACTCCATTTGATATAAAGGCTTTATTATTTTGGAAAAACACAAAAAAAAAAAAATCTGACAAACAATAAAGCAAGTGTAAAAGATACTGTGCACTATTTGTTTTTATCTTGTTTTGAGCTTCTTTGTTGGTCTCTGGTCAGTGTCGGCATCCGAGCTCTTCACCTTCACATCGACCTCCTTTAGAAGTGGGAGCTGGTGCTGTTTGGCTGTGGTCAACGCCCACAAACACAACTCCAGCCTGTGGGGCGTCCAGTCCTGCTGGGGATCCACTGAGAGGGGAGGCCAGAAACCACAATCAAAGTAGAGTTCATGTGGCTTTTATTTTCTTTTTACACTGATATTAAAAAGGTATTTTTATGTTCACCAGAGTGTCCTAAAAATAATTATAAATATAAAATACATTTAAATGTTTTTTTTTTCCTTCTGAAAAGGGTAAAAAAAAGCAATTCCTTTTGATGAAATGTTGAACAGCAATAAAAGATTAAATCTTCCACTTTTTATAGGCACTGTGAAAGTTTGAATAAAACTGTTTAAAAGGGAGAATAAAAGTTACAGTGCAAACTACAAATGAATAGTCCCAAATGTAATTCAAATAAAAGGCAGTGGCAAATGGAAAGGTCGTATGCCTCGATTTAAAAATAACAATTGTTTTCTTGAAGTTCAGACATGTGGTGCATAAAAACTGAGCACTGCCTCTCAATGTTTTAACCCTGGGGACGGTAAGCAAATACTGCATAAACTAATGTTTTATTTATTAGTAGCTTCATATTTCGTGTGCTGTATTGACAATATGGATGCACCCACATCTCTTGTGTGCCCGTCATTAGCTCACCTTTGTTTAGTTTTTCAGTGCACTCGACCATTTTGCCCAAGTAGAGAGTGTAGTGCTTGGCTGTGTATTGGATGGGCTTTAGTCCTGGTACACTCTCCATGGCTTCATCGGACATGAAGGCAGCCTGTTCTGGAGCTCCTGCTGCCAACATAGCTGGATCAAAATGGACAGTCAGCCCCCAAGCCATGCTGAGTGCATCCATGAGGTGAATACAAACTATTTATACATAGCAGGGAGTCCCGGCCACTCAATCCGCCAGTGTAAGGACGACTCTGTGCACTAACTGAGAAGGCTTTCACTTTGTGCTTTAAAAAGTATCACACAGATGTTTTATCAATAGGAATACTTTTATCAATTTGCTGAAAGCAGAATCGATACAGTGTCTTCAGAAACAGAAGGGAGACGCTGTGCTAACCTGAGGCGGTGGCCGGGCCTACGCCTTTCAGGGAGCTGAGCTCTGCGATCGCTGCCTGCACATCAGGCAGGAGGCTGAAGGCCTTTCTGGAACACGTCTCCACGGTGTCCTCACTGTTGGAAGCCACCAGCTGCTGCAGCCTCGGCCTGAACTTCCCCCTCTGCAGGAAAGCATACGGGGCCACTCAAGGACACAGCTGATGCACCGTAAGCGCTAGTGCCTCTTCATAGCTAGCCATCAAAGCTATATGTTTGAGGGAATATTTACTGACAAAAGCTTTTGTTGTGGGTGGGTTAAAGCTCCTTGGTGTTATGATGATTTAATGTCTAGACAACACTTACAGTGAGCTTCCACTCCATCAGTTTCACCAGCTCTGGTTGAGTGACATGAATGTCAGGTCGACTTGAAATGAGTGTAGGCAGCTCCTCTTGGTACCTGACCACAGATGAACGCAGGTTAGGCTCAGTTACCGTCAATCTTATTCTCAAAGCGAAGGTTGAGTCAACTTAATTAATTAAACACATTTCATATACAGTGATAACCATATATTAATTTGTCTGCATTCATAAAAAAAGACACTAAACCTTTTGTGCCAAATACAATCCTAACTCAAGGTCCATTTACTAGCTTTTTTCCAGATCTTTATCATGTGGCCTTCATCAACAAAAGGGAGTTTTCTCAGTTATCATGGAAATAACTTACATGAAGGAGAAGTACCGTCATGAAATCATAAAGCTAAAATGTCAACAAATCCATTTCCACTACAGCTGAGCAAACCCTCTCTGATGATGAAGTCCCTGTGATACAGTTGAAAGCCCCAGAAAAGGCTTTTGAGTGGACCATGAGTTGGGATTGTTTTGTCAAACTTCTATTTCCTGGTCAAGAATGAACTTTGATGCTTAAACTTTGATGTATTGTGAATGACTCAGAGATAAATCAATTGCATAAAATACCGGAAGTAAGATTTACTACAGTGTGAAATGTTACATCCTCAATTCAGTGAACTTGAATGTGGTTTTTGTAACTGTTGCTGTTAGGAAAAAATGATTTACCACTTGTCGAGGTTCAGCAGCTTTCCAGGTTTCTTGCTTTTGGACTTTGCCTCCACTACATCCCAATATTTCCCATACACACTCCTCCATGTGGCTGGGTCCTCACAGGCAAACAGAGCACTCATGTCAACAGAGAGCTCTCACCATCACCTGCAAACACAGACGACCGTAATCTGAATGTCAGTTTGTAAAACCTCTGTTCTACAAGAATGGACTTCAGCATTACACCATTTAACATGCGATAGTATTTCACCTTCCTGCTGAAACAAAACAAAAACAGGGCCCGATGTTCTCTATAAACTACTGAACGAATTGTAGTCGCGTAAACGTGGCGATGCCTCTGTTATGAGGTACGGAATTCCCGCGAGAAGATACCCGCGCAAAATACTACTTCCATTAGAGAAGAAGAAGAAAATACTACTTCCGGTGCCGCAAGCATTGAGCAACAATCTCAGAAGGTTTGTCCCCTGGAATACTTTGTATTGACTTTGCGTAGACACTGTCACCCACCAGGATATATATATATTTATGTATTTTACGTTTCTCTAACTGCCCGACGTACTTGTACAACTTATGTCGCGCGCGTTTCGTCTTTGCAAAAGTACTCGTTAGCTAGGTTAGCCAGCTAGAATTAGCATCACATTCCAGTCATGTTTGTGGTGCAAGTACACTGCAGAGCGAGTTTAGCTGTTTGAAGCCTTAACGTGAAGGAGCTAACGGATATACGTCACGTTATCTCAAATTTAACCCTATTTTTGAGGAAAATGAACGACCACCTACGCACGAAATCAAGGGTGTAACATTAGGTTACTGGTCAAGCTGAACATTTTTAAATTTTAATGCACATGTCACTGGAGTGAAAAGGCTTTCCCACTTTTGGGATCGCTCGTTTTGTTCCCCACTGCATCGTGAGCTTAAAACAGCTATTAATCAATCATTAGCACGAGGTAGAAGGTGATTGACACAAACCAAACTTCAGCGAAGGCGAATTCCAACACGATAGGATAGACAGGCCACACAGAGGTAAACAAACACTGATAATCTGACATTATTTAAATCTTGAAATCATAACATGGATGGAAATATAACTCTAAAGCAGGAAGGTGACAGACAGCCATTATATATAATTTCGGTAACCCCATGATAACGAGATAATATATTCTCACTACTAGTAACTTGGCTCTCATGGGAGCACATGAAGAGGACTCTGTGCTGCTGCAGACATTGATAAGGCCGGCAGTTCTTCCACAAGTAAGTACTGAAGCCGTTTCTTTGTCTAAAATGTTCAACATACATACATGTTGTACATACTGCCACCTCTCCTGCCCCCTGTGTCAAGTACTGTATATATATCTAACGTCGTGTAGTGCCACCTTCTGGTGGATTTTTGAACTGCCTTAAAAAACATTTTACATTCTGCTCCAATTTCTTTTAAAGTAGTGCTGGAAAAGCAGCAAAATCAAGTGCTGTTCACCTGATGCATCAGTGAAATCACGGTTGCCTGCTCCAGGAACATGGAGAAGATGTCGCGTGTTACCACAGCCCACAGCAGCAGTGCCATCAGTGGCCGAACGATGTTCTGCCACTTGGACGCACCGGCCAACGCCATCAGCGTGTGCCGGGATGCCACGCAGGTGGTGGTAGCCGGCCGCAACATCTTCAAGATCTACGCGCTGGAGGAGGAGCAGTTTGTGGAGAAGCTGAATCTACGCGTCGGCCGCAAACCCTCGCTCAACTTCAGCTGTGCGGACGTCATGTGGCACCAGATGGAAGAGAACCTGCTGGCCACGGCTGCCACCAATGGGGCGGTGGTCACCTGGAACCTGGGGAAACCCTCTCGTAACAAGCAGGACCAGCTGTTCACAGAGCACAAACGCACCGTCAACAAGGTGTGCTTCCACCCCACAGAGGTTTACATGCTGCTAAGCGGCTCGCAGGATGGCTTCATGAAGTGCTTCGACCTGCGCAAGAAGGAGTCGGTCAGCACTTTCTCAGGTAGAATATTGTGTGATAAGCAAGCATCAGATTATTACCATTAACTGAAATGCAGCTGCTGAGTGTTTTGCATGGGAGGAACTTCCTCTTAACAAGTCTTTACAGTGTTGTTTACTGGAAATCTTTTGAAATTATTTGCACACTTTAACTTTTCCCGCTCTCCCTTTGCCTCCAGGTCAGTCAGAGAGTGTACGGGACGTCCAGTTCAGCATTAAGGATTATTTCACGTTTGCTGCAACCTTTGAGAATGGCAACGTCCAGGTGTGGGACATCAGGCGGCCAGACCGCTATGAGCGAATGTTCACCGCCCATACCGGCCCTGTGTTCTGCTGCGACTGGCACCCTGATGACAGGTAAATTAAAATGACTTTGTGACACAAACCAACTGAGAAATCAGAGGTTTTCCTTTCTAAAGGTATCTTGGGTCAGGAGGGTGTTTTTTTTTTTTTCTATTATTGTTAATAGCGTTCTCCCTTTTGTTTCTGTTGTAGGGGATGGCTGGCGACAGGGGGCAGGGACAAGATGGTGAAAGTGTGGGACATGACCACAAACCGGGCCAAGGAGATCTATTGTGTCCAGACGATCGCCTCAGTGGCGCGGGTTAAGTGGCGGCCTGAGAAGAAGTTTCATTTAGCCACCTGTTCCATGATGGTGGATCACAACATCTACGTGTGGGACGTCCGCAGACCTTTCATTCCCTTCGCCACATTCGAGGAGCACAAGGATGTGACCACTGGTATTGTGTGGCGCCACCAGCACGACCCTCACTTCCTGCTCTCTGGCTCTAAGGACAGCACACTCTACCAGCACATGTTCAAGGACGCCACTCGTCCCGTGGACAAGGCCAACCCCGAGGGTCTGTGCTTCGGACTGTTCGGTGACTTGGCCTTCGCAGCCAAGGAGAGTCTGATCAGCAGTGACGCCAACAGAAAGCCTTACCCCGGAGGCGACCGGCGCTACCCCATCTTTTTCTTCAAGAAGCCCGACCCGACAGAACAGTTTGCCCATGTGTCCAGCGCCCTTAGTGTCTTTGAGACAGACTTGGACAGTAACTGCATGGACTGGTTTGTCAAGACGGCACAACTCTACCTCCTCTGTGGGAAGCCCTTTGCTGAGCTGTGTGATCACAATGCCAAGGTGGCCCGGGAGCTCAAGAGACCTCAGGTCAGACAGATCAATACTCCAACTAATCTATTCTTAGTGCTGTTGTTGCTGTCGTTTTTCTTTTCTTTTTTTTTTTTAAATAATCCTGTCGGTTTTGTTGTTTTCAATTTAAATGTGACCATGACGGATTAAGATTTATACAAATTGATAGACATATTACTGCAAAATAATGACTCATTTCAAACTTGTTAATTACAATATATATATTTTTCTTTTTCTTTTTTCTTTCTTTTCATTATCTATTAATCTATTGATTACTGATGATTTATTATTCGTTCTTAAAATATCAACAAATCGTAAAAAACGTCCATAAGTTCCTAGAGCCCATGCTGATGTCTTAACATGTATTTATAACACTTTACTTTCAATAGTAATGTGTTCTACAGTAATTGTGTTCGGCATGTGTAATCAATAACTTGTCTTCTTTTCTTTAATTCAAAGGTTTCCACAACATGGACCATGTTGAGAATTATGTTCTCTGACCCAGCAAACCCCACAACGCCCGGTCTGAACCACAGCCTCAGTAAACTGGGCACCTTGCCTTTAATGAACAGGTAAATGACGTCTCAGTGTGCCGTTACAACAACCGTAGTGTCAGTCGTCATCTAACGCTGATGCACATTGTGCTTTCAGTTTCAGCATGAAGGAAATGGGTCCAGAGGGCAGACTGGAGCGCAGTAAAGGAGAGAGCAGGCAGGACAACGCCCACCTGGAGCCGGGGATCTTGCACATCAGCAATAATAATGAAGGTGAAGGAGGCTCATCTGTTTGTCCTTATGTTCTCTGTGTAATATTCAAGACTCGTTTTTGATTTCCCTTCAGAAAATGAGGAGACGGAGGGCAGCGAGGGCCAGGCTGAGTATATGTTTGGGGATGCTGAGCTGGATGACGATGACCTCTACTCTATGGAGCACGAAAACCAAACGGGTCAGTCCCAGTACCGTCTCTGAAACCAAAGAGCTGCCTACGCCAGTGACTGCTATTTATAACTTCCTCCATGCTCAGCACTCTTTTGTCTAATATTACCTCTGCTCCCTTTTTGTCACGACAGAAGAGCAGGAGTGCACGCTGCCCCAGGAGGCCTTCCAACTGCGCCATGAGATCATGGACAACCCGTCCGCTCCGGAGCACCTTCAACAGGACAAGGCCGACTCCCCGCACGTCAGCGGCAACGAGGCAGAAGTCACCTGTCTGACACCCATTGAGTCCTTCTCCCTCATCTCCATTTCCCAGCCGCTGTTTAGTCCACATTTACCCGCCAGCTTCTTCTGTCCCATCGTGCGGGAGATGCTGAGCTACTACGCCGAGCAGGGCGACGTGCAGATGGCCGTGTCTGTGCTCATCGTCTTGGGGGACAGGATCCGCAAAGAGATCGATGACCTCACACAGGTCAGATAGAGAGAGGTGTTGAAAAAACTGCATTAGAATAATTCATGGACAAGGACTGTGGAGGTTTTTTGTGTTGGCAGAAGCATTAATATAACGTTTCTGGTTCTTGTGTACTCCTAAGAATGACTTCCTGACTTAAAGCTGATCTTAAATATCTGATAAATAAGTCAGAGATGTTACCGGAATAAATATTTTAGGTTAAATGTATTTCCACTATCGTCAATGTTATATGGAAAAAAAAATCCAGCAGCGTTTAGGGATTCTTTAGGCCTTATCTATGACCAAGTTTTTCACTAGTAAAACACCAAAGTCTTCAAACTAAATTACGCCGTTGCAGTTCAGAAGACCTAAACCCTGATCTAGTTGTGCTTTTGTTACAGGAGCACTGGTACATGTCCTACATCGACCTGCTGCAGCGGTTTGAGCTGTGGAACGTGTCAAATGAGGTCATCAAGTTGAGTACGTGCAGCGCCATCACCTGCCTGAACCAGGCGTCCACAACACTTCACATCAACTGCAGCAACTGCAAGCGGCCAATGAGCAACAAGGGCTGGATTTGTGACAGGTATGAACCGTTTTATAGGAAGGGTTGGTTGGTTGCTGGACTGTAGACTTTGAGTTTTTGTAATTTAAAAAAAAAATGTTACATGACCCGAGCCCTGCGTCTCTCCTCTAGGTGCCACCAGTGTGCCAGTGTGTGTGCAGTGTGCCACCATGTGGTTAAGGGACTGTTTGTGTGGTGTCAGGGCTGCAGCCACGGTGGACATCTGGAGCACATCATGAACTGGCTCAAGAGCAGCGCCCACTGCCCCGCTGGCTGCGGCCACCTGTGTGAGTACACCTGAGCCCATCACGAGCACTGTTCACACAGCCGGTGCTCTGTGGGATTGGGAATTGGTCCCCACACCGGCCTCTGGATCTCACACAAAGCACATTCCTCCACATGGGCTTGGAGTCCCTTATCTGTGTGTGTGTGTGTGTGTGTGTGTGTGTGTGTGTGTGTGTGTGTGT